ATCTGACCCTGAAGTATAACATCCTAAGAACACACAGGAACATGAGGATTTCAGAATTCCTGGTAGCTTTTTGCACAATTATAGAAATTTAGGGTGAGAAAGAAACATGTCAGTTAGTCTAACTTGATCCTTTCAACTGTGTGAACTCTGAGAAGAAAGATACCTCCTAAGTAGCTAACAGGGTTCAATTTTGTTTAAAAGGAGCCTACAAGCCATTTCTACCCAGGGGCCTCTGACACAAATTGCACTTCATGGTGAAGCCTGCACTCTATTTCTGCCATCTGAACCAGCTCTTATAAAGGAGTTCCTGGAATCCTATTTCGACCAGTGGGATGGAGGCTTTCCCCATCCAATCAGAGCTGTGTAGTTCTGACCAACCAGAGTGGCACTATTGGTGATTTTTGGGCCAATCAAATTTCAAGGATTTGGAGTCCTCATTTGTGTGAGGACAGACCAATCAGGGACCAGGGGCAGGGACTTCTGTCTACATAAGTCAGCTCCCCTCTGGCTCTGGGAGCGCACTTTCCTCCTTCCATGGGAGACTCAAGACTCTGTTTCCCTTGCTGAGCTGAAATCTTGAAGATGTCTTACAGGAGCAGAGCAGACCAGCACAGCAAAAAGCAGATTGGCACAGAGTAGAGCAGAGTTGTCCAGCTCTGGGCCCAGTGCTGCCTGGCCCAGGGCTGCCTCACAGCCATGCTGTATCACAACGGAGCTATTTTGCACCGAATAGTTTCTTCTTCACTGCACCCCAAATTGAGGATTCCTGTTCGCATTGAATTGGTACAAACTACTATTGGCTGACAACTATATCTTAATAGCTTTAAAAAACCATCAAATCAAAAAATCTACCTTGGCCCCGCCAGTTACAAAGTTGCTTCCTTCCTGCTCTATATCATCTCTGCCTCTTTCTGTTGCTTTCTGTATTATTAGGCTAAGAAAACAGAAGCTTCATTCTCAAATCAACATATTCTCATTTCTCTATTGAAATAACAAATTTTCATGGAAAGCAAACAATAAAAGTAAAAGATAATTAGAAAAGACTTATTTTTAAAAAATTCAATATGAGACTTTGAGACTTTCATTAGCTTATCTTTGTCTTTTGGTTCCATTTCATTTTTAAAATTAATTTAAACCAATTCCTTAAAAAAACAAACCCCAAACCTTTAATGAGGCATTAACACCTAAGAATGGAAACGGCCACATTATATTTACAATAAAAATGGGACTTATACCCTGGCCCGTGTGGCCCAGTAGCTTGGGTATCATCCCATGCACCACAAGGCTGCCAGTTTGATTCCCAGTCAGGGCACATGCTGGGTTATGAACTCAATCCCTGGTGGGGGTGTGTGTGCAGGGGTAGCTAATGATGTTTCTCTTTCTCCCCCTTTCTTTCCTCTCTCCCTAAAAATCAATTTTAAAAAATCTTAAAAAAACAATAATGGGGCTCATAGATTAGCAATTTTGTTAATGCTTTACTATTCTGAAATATATATATTCATATATGTATATATTCATTCAAAAACTGCTATCATAATGAGATGTAAATACAATGACAAATCATCAGGTCTAAAAGGGACTTTTATACCATTCCTTCGGACAGGAATCCCATTCTGTACACACAGTGACCTGGCATTATACCTGGTACAAAGGAAGTGTTCAGAAATGTTAAACTGAATTTTGTTGTCTTGGCTGTTTTGGGAAACCAACCATCAACCTCAGCAGAATATGGGCCTCTTGGGTAATATTCCTGTTAACTCTGATGATATTGTTTGTTGTTGTTGTTGTTTTTTTTAAAAAAAACCCACATTATCCTGTAAGGAGTTCAAGTCCACAAGAGATTATGGTAAATGCCAAAAGTAAAAGTTTTAACCCCCTTTGAGGAAAAGTAAATTATTAATAATAAAAGAATCTCTAATTTGAAATCTCTTTTTTTAAAATGTATCCTAAAGGATCCTCGAACAGGACCAGGCCCTCCTCCCTCGGCTATCCTCCGGTGGAAGTTTGTTAGGGACCTGGCACAGACACCATGAATGAGAAGCAGAGAACAGAGCACCTGGCCGGGCGGAGGTGCGCGCTGCCGCTGGTTTTCCCTGGGCTTCACGGGAATGGGTTTGATGAGATGGGGGTTGTCATAAATGGCAGATGAGCTGGTTATCTGTTTTGGCTCGGAACAGGTTTTACACTGAAATAGAAAAAAGAACCGTATTTTTGGTGTAAAAGAAGTTTTTTTTGGTGTAAAAGAAGCTTTATTCTTTTAAAAGGAACATACCTTCCTTCTTGTTCTCTATTTTATTTAATTGGTCGCTATTTTTTGGCAGTTTTATGTACAAACAAAATCTCTTAATCTCTTTTATATTTGAGTATAAAAAAATTTTTTTTTTTAGTTACACAATTCAGTGCCCTAAAATATTACTAACAGTATCAGCCTTCAAGATCTAGAACAGCGGTTCTCAACCTGTGGGTCGCGACCCCTTTGGCGGTGGAACGACCCTTTCACAGAGGTCGCCTAAGACCATCCTGCATATCAGATATTTACATTACAATTCATAACAGTAGCAACATTATAGTTATGAAGTAGCAACGAAAATAATTTTATGGTTGGGTCACAACATGAGGAACTGTATTTAAAGGGCCAGAAGGTTGAGAACCACTGACCTAGAAGGTCTTAGATACCTGGATACTTTAAAATATACTATCTATATACTTAAGAATAGTTTAAAAATATAGAATCTAGTGATTTTTAATGATAAATAATGATACAAAGTATTCCTTAAATACCATGTCTGGATTGCAATAGGGTTTTATTCACCCTTTAGCAACTGATTTCATGTTGGAGAGTTCCAACATCAAAGTAACTAACCCTTTTTGGTCTACAAACCAAAAAGTAAAGCTGACTCAAATTACTGATTTAAAAATTACTAACATCATCTTTATTTAATAAGTGACTTTTTGGATAAACAGAATAATTCAAATCTGAGTGTTCTGAGCCACTCACTACAAATTAGAATTTCACAGAGAAAGAGATGAGACATGCCTCCTCATTTCAAATACCGAATCACTCTCACACATCAGTCTAACCAACCATGCAATTATCAACACAGTAGGATTCAAAACAGGAAGAGCACAGCAGCGATGTCGGCATCTGACTGGTTACAAATAAAACTGAGTATAAAAACGCTCCCTTCCATGCTACAGACTCTCCATAGCATTGCTGGTTTTAATTGTACAGTCAAGGCCCCAGGTCAGGAAATATTTCACACTGGAATGTGTGACAAATACAATATTGTCCCTCAGAAACCCAAGGTTCCCAATGTATCTTAGAGTTATTGGATTGTATTTTCTAATTCAAGGATAGAGAGGTATGGGTCAATTACCACCATGTTCACTTAGGTTTATAAAGTTAACTAGAGGCCCGGTGCACAAAAATTTGCGCACTCGGGGGGAAGGGGGGGTCCCTCAGCCTGGCCTGTGCCCTCTCGCAGTCTGGGACCCCTCGGGAGATAACAACCTGCTGGCTTAGGTCTGCTCCCGGGTGGCAGAGGGCAGGCCCAATCCCTAGGTGCAGCCCCTGGTCGGGCTCAGAGCAGGGCCCATTGGGGAGTTGGGGTGCCACCCCCTGTCATGCACAGAGCAGGGCGGATCGGGAGGTAGTGATGCCACCCCCAGTCACGC